TTCACACTTGGATAGCTCACTTTTGAAGGCGCTTATGTTTGGTCCATCTTAATACCAGGCTAAGCCAGTAAATGGCAAACATTTTCTAAACGCTTTTACAGTACAAATACGATTAGTATCTAACCAGAAGCTGACCAGAATCCAAAGAAGGGCTAATAGGCGATTGCAGAGTAAGGTGTTTGGATTTTGGGAGAAATACGAGAATTGTAAAAAAACAACGGCTCAATTATTGAAATCGATGTTGAGATTAAACGGACCTTCAAGAGCAGAAAAATAGTATGATATACATATCAAATTTTATCGTAAATCAAACGTTCTTGATCATAAATAAATCATTCCTTAAAGTTAAAAAAACATGTGGTTCCGCATGGTTGCTTTGGTTGTCTCACAAGAACTCAATCGCATCTGAAGCTTTAGTAGTAATTGGCGATGTTCACCTTTCTTTATTCGCTTAGACATCCTTACAAACTTTGTTGAAAAATACAAACAATTGTTTTTTTACTAAAGATCTTGTCTACAAAGCCAAGTTTTTTTTTTTTCAAATCTGACCGATTGACTTGATGAGTCTTTACAGTGTTGTTGTTACACAATAACTTGTTCGTGTCTAAAGCTTTTTTGGTCATTAGTGATGTTCATCTTGCTTTACTCACCTTGAGATCCTTATAAACTTTGTTGGAAATAAAAAGAATTTTTCTTTTTTTTGCTGAAGATCTCGTCCAGAAAGCCAAGTTTCTTAAAAAAATCTGACCGATTGACATGATGAGTCTTACAGTTATGTGTTGCTTTTTTGGTAATTGGCAATGTTTACCTGGCTTTATTCACCATGATATACTTATAAACTTTGTTGGAAGAAAAAAATCGTTTTTTCCTAATGATCTTTTACTTTTCTATGTGTTTAACTTCTAATAAGTTGTACTGGATCGAAGACCAACTTGCTGACGTTTCTACTCGATTTTATATGTCGGCAAGTTGGTGTTGGCAAGTTGAACAGTCGGCGACTTGACCGTAATTCAAAACTGCTTAAGTGCCACATGCAACAATTTAAAACACATGCTCACATTCTTTTCTTGAAAAACAGATTTATTATGATATCACATCTGGTAATATCCTTTTCACTGTTTTAAAAGGAGAGTGAAGAGGAAATGGATCCTATTCAAAAGTCTTTAGAAGAAATCAAAAGAGATTTCAAGCTGTATAACAGAGAGAGGTAATTCTGAAATCAATTTTCTTCTCATAATTGGTTGTTTTCTCCTAGCCATGAAAGTGATATGGGGTACCTGTTAATGCAATCTTTTTTAATTTTTCTTCTATCTCTTTTAGTCTAGTAGCAGAGTGAGGTGTAAAATTCTTATCACCTCTGATTACAATGTAGTTCATGTTGTAATCATAACATTTCACTGGTGTACTGGAAATATATTTGTTTCTGTTTCTTTCCCTCAGAAGGATGAAAAATAAAGTTTTTTGATGTTTTGGTTCTCTTGATACTTGTAGGTTACTTATAACTCGAAGACTAACGAAAACAAATGTGACCTCTGCCCAAGAAAACAGTGAAGAAAAAAATGCTGAAATGTCAGTAACAGATGCAAAACTATCATGATATTGGTGTGTACCAGTATTACACTAGTAAAGCTCATTTAATATGTGAATCCACCATGAGTGTAGAACAAGCGGAAAAAAAAGTAGAATTTTTTTACTGTTAATCTGTAATATTTTATGGTCATTATGTTTTGACCTTGTGCCCTCCAAGAATAATTTTAAAACAAATGTGTGTAAATCACTTTAAATGCCACCAACTTTTCACGTGGTCACTTGTCAGATCTCAGCTTGTCATCTGCAAATTATTACAACAACTATCTTGAATCCTCTTTGGAAAATTTTGAAAATTAACTCTCATAATGAGGTTTGAATTTCTGTAATCCAAATTTTTTCATTGTCGTTATGTAGATATGTTGTAGCAAAAATGTGCTCAAAGAAATGCAGTGAGTAAGAGTAGTTTACTTTGTCAATAGATAGAGGTGGTCTTAAAGTAATCCAGCTCATGAACATTACAGTAAAAGAGCAGATGCTGTGGCCAAATTGGTTAATGCTTGACTCTAGATCAAAAGGTCCAGAATTGAGTCGTGCTAGGGGTTGTGTATTTTGTGTTCTTTGGGAGGACACTTAGCTTCTACAGTGCCTTTCTTTACCCAGAGGTGTTAATGGTTACCAGTGGTCTGTCAGAGAATCCAGACAAAATGCTAGTGGTAACCTGCAATGGACCCAGCATTCCATCCAGGGAGGGGAACAACTCTCCTTTTTGTTTTATGCTGCAAAAAACAGTATAAGCTTCGACAGCTAGTTGAGTCACTCTGTCAGTGTTTCATAGTTTGTACTTATTTGTGTTCAGAAGTGATATAATTTGCTTTATTCTTTTAATTACTCTAATGTAGTTGTCAGTATTACTTTAGTAAGTGTTTCTGAGTGATTCCAAACTTGATGGAGGTTTTTTTATGTAAAATGTTATTGTAGGTTAGTGAATATAGATTTTATTTGGTGAGTTTCCAGTTCCATTTGGGAGTTTACCCATAGGTCTGTCCAGAAGCATCTCATCGAAAGGTTTGGCAAAATAGTTCTAAGCAGTGCACACAGAGCCCTGCAGTTATTTGCACTAGTTTTTGCACCTTTACTTGCAGTGGTCAAGAAGTGAAGTGAAGAAAAAGATTGATCTGAATTACATGACATGTTGTAACACCCAAACCTGCATTAATAGATTACTACTTAAATTCCAATTTAATCTCAGTAGAATTAAAATGGAAATTTTTCCATATGATTTAATTTATTTAAGAAATATTTATAAGTATGTAATGTTCTCTCCATGATTCAGTCGTAAACGTTCGTTCATCTTTTTCCCAGATTAACAAAATGGAATATGAACTAATCAATAGCATGGAAAAGTGCGCTATCCCTTTGGTATTGTGTGATTTCCTTTATTTCATGTTGGTACTTGGTTAATATGGTTTAATACTTCTTAATATTTTGACAGGTTTGCTGACTGCTTGTTTCCTTTGCATATCATTATTGTAGGATAAATGGTTCTTTAAGCTTACAACTTGCATCTATTGCTAATTCTTTTTTTGAAAAGAAATAGTTTTGGTTATGCAACAAGAATATGCAAGCTTGTGTTATATTTAGGTATCTTGCTGTGTTGCTTTACTTTACCCATGATTGTTTTCTGGTTTACTTTGGAAAATTTATCACACCTATTTGGTTACAGTGTTTGAGTGTAACTTTGTCTTAGAAACAGATCTGGAATGTGTTGTACCTCAAATCCCCACGTATGTAGTCCTGCCATATGCCATAGCAGACCCCAGATTTTTCAGTTCAATCTTTTTGTCTAAAGATTTCAACTATAGATATGATATATTTGGGCAATGAGTTGAAGGGGGCAGGGAGGTAGATTCCGCAAAAAAAGTAACAATACCATATTATATTAAAGAAGCATGAACACAGAGGTGCAGTTTCAAAGGCAGATTCTTGATTATTAAACTTTTTTAACACCTACTAAATGTCCAACAGGCATATGTTTCCTAAAAAGAGCATTAGAAAAAATGTGTAGGTTGATGATATAACATTGATGGAGGAAATAATTTTGGGTTTAACCCCAGAACTTAACTGTGAATGGTTAGTTCATTTACCAGTTTCCTTACAGTAAATAAGTCAAATTGTAGGTTATTAACTAAAGAGAGTGTTAGGTAATATAAGATTATAGATTCAGAGAATTATGAAAATCTGATTATGTGTGAGGGATGTTAATAAGTGCCATTGTACAAACAAAGAAAAAAATAAAGGCTATGTTTAATAATAGGTTTGGATGCTTAGTGAATACAGTACTGTACTGTTGATTATTTCCTGTGATTAGGACAATGTGATGAGGAACTGAGCTAATTCATAACTATCCTTAACCCTCTGACATCTTAACCCACCTTGCCTGTGACCGTTTTTTTTTTTTTTTTTTTTTTTTTCCAAAGGGAGTAGGAGCAGAAAAAAGTATGTTCATTATTTCTCATTGGTTGGTTGCTGCCCCACATGTGGGGTAGCAAAGAAAGAATGTTTGATTGCGGGTTGCAATTCACCCTAAATACAAATGATCCATAATTCCTAGTTCTTCTGTTACTTAATTCCTTTTCCTGGAAAAGGTATTGTCTGCCTTATTTTATTTGGGGTAGATGTTTCAACTTTATTTTTAACGTAGTGTGTGTTTGCCCTCTCTTTATTTCTCTTATGGTTTTCCTTTGTACTCCGCCTGATTTCAAGCTAACACCTCTGAAAATCTCTGTAGTATAACGTATTATTAGGTAGGTAAATTTTACACCACTTCATTCTTATACCATATACAGAACAGAGTAATCAAAAACCTTTCAAATATGGCTATCTTGGATTCACAGCCATATGGTCTTTATGATAAGTGGGCTGAATTTTTTAAGTTAAAATTGACATCTTTAACTGCAATTGGTTGAAAACTAAACTTTGTTTCATCACTAAGCTTGATTTGGGTCTATGTCTGCCTAATAGAAATGTCCATCAAGTACATTCCTTTTTTAAGAGTACAGAAGGAAAAATTTGGTTTGGACCATTGTTTACTTTTGTGAGGTCTGCCCTATATAGGTTTCCTTTCTCTGTAAATAGCTTCTATCACCATAGGTTGAGTATACTAGGTTAGGAACTATCTTGTGGCACATCTAGTTTTTGGCAGTTATAGGTAAATTTTGTATGCTTTCTTTTAACCACTTGACATGATTACACTGTTAAAAAGAGACAGAATTATTGTTTAGAGTGAGTGGCACTATTTCCTGACCCCTTGAGGAGAAAACAGTGTCCAGTAAGGGAAGACCGTTGACTTCTATATTCTTTTGGGATGTTTCAAGTACTCATGCCATAAAAAAGCAACCTTTGTAGAACAACCTTCCCAATAGTTTTGAAGTTCTTCTTAAGAGAGAGACCCAGAAACTTGGCATTTAAATCTTTTATTGTGCCAAATGTTAGTTTCCTAAGAAATTATATACAACCATTTTACTGATACAGACCAGACCATGGTTGTCCAAAGGGTGGGTAACGCTATCCACTGAATAAATGTCCATAACATGTACACCAAAATACATTGTGTAACCACTTATCCCCTGGATAACAATTTTTCCATTGGATAGGGTTATCCATTCTTTGAACAACTGGCCCCAGCAGTCCACAGGAGTACTGACATTTCACATTGAACTTAGTTATTGATAGCCTGGAAGTCTTCTCCTTTTCCTTTTAGCCAAGAGGGAAGAACCTGAGTAGAGGGAGTCATGCAAAGACAAAGGGCTTTAATGGGACTAAAAGCATAACTGAACCCTCCACACCCCGACATCAGTATACATATTCTCTCTACTGTGCTCTGACAAGGAGAAATTAGATGCCAGTCACTCTCGGGGGTTAAAGGGTTTATGTAAAAGTAAGGGGTCAAGGGGTTATGCAAGAGTAGGGTGAGGTCTTGATTCTTTATTCTTACTTTCAGCTTTGCCGTGGTGTTTCTGGTTTGGCTCTGTGCTATTCCCACTTAGATAAAAGTACATGGAAAAGACTGCTATGCAGGCATACAAGTTCCTACATAACTACAGTGCATACAAATTCATTACAGAGTGCTAATGTGATTGTGTTTTATAACAAAACAAATTAACACTTTAAATTAAGTCCTGGAATTGAGTCTCTCTCCTGCAAGGCCCGAGAGGTGTAATGGAATAAATTGGCTGAATGAAGGTAGTATACAGGCACAATATTGCCTCACTCTAACTGTACCTTGTTGGCTTCATTCACTTAACATGACAAAAGAATTCACTACCATCCCACAAGTCCTTTAAAAGTAGTATCATTTAATATGTTATAAATAATTATTATAATAACAAAAAAGACATCAACCTCTATTGACCTAAAAATAATCCACAAATTTGTGTTAAAAGTCTACAAAAGTGTACAGTGGTGTATTAAAAATAGCATGAAACTAATCATTGAGGCTAAAGTGCAGCGGAGATGTGTTTAAAATCTGTTCATATGATGGCACCAAACACACTGTTACTGTAGCAAAAATTTGCATGAATTTGAAAAGACAGCCACTAGCTTATGGAACAAGCAAAGCCTCAGAAAAGCATTTGTCATAATTATGTGTCTTCATCTTTGATGAAATGTTAGTTCACAACTATTCGAAAAGTTCATTTTGTGTAAGATGCATGTTGTGTGACTGTGTCCCTTGTCAGACAAATGAAATCACTGAATGTGTTCTGCTGAGCATACTGCTGCGACAGTTATTCTCTTCCTGTGCCAAGCCATTCTATGGAAGAACAAAGAAATCTCATCAGATATCTTCACAAGGTAGACGCAAAGCCTTTAGGACAAACATAAGAAAAGTATACCATGCACTCATGCAAAATACATAAATCCTTTAGGTCAACATCAGATTGCAAATGGGTTAAAAGCAGTCAAGATAGGATTATATATAATTACAGCTACTTGTAAAGCAACAGTCTAAACCATTTGGCACAAGCAAAACCAAGAGAAAGTTTGTCAAGACATTAGCCAACAAGAACATGCAATAAGGGATGTAATGAAATCAACGATAGGTTACTAGTTGTGTAACCCCTTGCACATCAAAGTCATAAAAAAATTAAAGAGTGCATATAAGTAAGTGCTGCAGCCTGGAAAAATCATGTGACTGATGATAAAAGACAGCAGAGAAACTGCGGATCTGAGCTTATTTCATCTGAGGGTAAACATTTTAAAGCAGAGGTTGATGACTTAAGTTCCTTCTACGGTCAATGATGAATTGGAAAAAAAACACTCTCCCCTTAATGCCCAAATGCTGTGAAATGTTTATAGGTAAAAACTATGCAATAATTAAATATAATGTGTTATTCAGTTAATTGAAAGGAGTGCAATTTGGTCTGAAATCATGCAATAACACATTATTTCAAAATTGAATAAAAAAAAAAGAAAGAAAAAAAAGAAAGGCATTCATAATGACTGCAAATTGGTATCCATAATTCATAGTATTACAAACAGTAAAATTCTCAGGGGCACCCATTATAAATTTATTCTTCTGACAAATTACATTATTCTTACCATTCTATGGAAAAAAAAAAACCACAACAACAATTGTCTGTGATTTTTGTGTCCCACAAATAAGTCAATTTAGTTCTCAGATTACCAAAAGAAAAAAGAAACCTTTTCTTTTAGTATTAAAAATGCAGAGGTACATGTAGAATATTTAATTTTTTACCAAAAATTATCTTGGGATTTAATTTATACAGCAGTCCTAATAATGCTATTATACAATCACCTTACCACTTTCTATCTGCTATTAATAGCTGCTGAATGCTACATTCTAAACCATATTAATCTTATTTGTATGTGTTGTTTGTATCTATGAAGGTAATTAATCTACTTTTGTTCCAACTTACAGTTAATTATTATTTTCCACATGACACAAAAGTGTCAAAATTCATTTAATAATCCTTAATCTCTACATTTATATTAACTATGAATTGAATATCATGTGGATTACTGAATGTGATGAAAATTTATGTCTTTCCACAATAATGCAACTCTCACTCTTGTGTTTTAAATTTGTGAAAAGGAATATTTAGCAAGAGATTTAATTCCACTTACAGCAAACTCATTGTATGAGGTACAAACAACCATTGACTCATTCTTATTGCTGTTTGAGCTGAATCCATTAAGCACTTGTATTGATGTGTTGCCAGTGCTGTTTAATACCTTGCTAGAATTACCATTTTTGTCGGCAAGGACCTTTCTCTTTACAGCAAGCCTGGCTGACTGTCTCCTGCTGGAAGGTGTCTGTCCACACATACACACAAAAAAAGACACAATAATTCACTGACAAGGTGTTTTTATAGGGAAAAGTGTATTACAGGTAGCCTCAGTCTATGTATATCAGTCAAGATTAAATCAATTCTTCAGTTGATAATTTCTCAGTAGTAAGCTGACGGTTGATAGTAAAGTTATATCCTCTGTCTTACACATTCCCCCATTTGTTTATCTCCCAATTTATTTCTAGTTGCAAGGTATAATCAAAAATGATTTCCTGCAGCAAAGATTTGATAAAAATTGTCAACACTCTACACCCAAATGTCAATATGCATATCCTCCTTAATGTTCTTCAAACATTTCCTAAGGTGCTGACAAGGAGAATTTTTATGACAGTCAAGAGCTTCTTCAGTTGGTGATCATTAATTTTATCTTATACTCGTGACCTTAATGTGTGATTCAGGGTGATATTGTAAGGAGAATATACTAGAAAAAACAGGTTTGGTAAATTCTTGAAGATCAGAGATGGTAAATACCTACAGCTGTTCAGTAGTACCTTTTTGGATACAGTTGTGACACCAAGAACTAAACCCATATTAACTAAAATGATAAATAACGAGATCATCTTTAAGTTACCACTTTTTTCTTTATGGTCTTGGCAACTTTTCTTATGTTGGGTTTTGTAGCAAGTGGAGGACGGCCATTTGTATTTCCTGCAGCTGACCTTGGGGATGGGCAAATGCTAGAGTGGAGATGCAATCTTGATGGTGTTGATGTGTAATCTTGCATCTATGAGAATAAAAAAGGCATTAAAGCATGATGTTGGTCATTGACTGAGATCAACAGTTTAACTTGCTTGCACCTGACCTGCTGACTAGTCATGTAACAATTTGATATTTTTGCTAATCATCCATGAGACCATAACACTGACTCACTTTAAGTAGGCTTACACTGTAAATGTGAAATATAATAACATGTAATACATATTCAACCCTATCTAACTCTTAGCTAACTAAAAGTTTATATCAGTCTAACTGACAGAGCTTTGACCTTAAAACTGTGACCAAAAAACAGTTTTTATCTTAACAGCAAAATTGTTATTTCTCAGGCACACACATTTGTTGTAAGCTCCTTGATGGAGGCTCTCTCTCTCTCTCTCTCCAAAGAGACCTTTTCTGTTACAGCTGTTATGTCGTTGTTAATTTTTTCAAAATTTTTCTTTGAGAGCCTCTGCATTGACAGTGAAGCAGGTTCATACATAAGACATACACTAATCATTCTTCAAAACATGGAAAAGTTCAGAATTTCACATACAACTATTTTCCAACCCAAAAGTAAGTTAGTTCCTCACTTTCATTCGTTTTGGTGTCTTTAAGGGTGTTGTTCCTCCTCCAATTGGTCTGTGCCATAATCAAAGTAAATGAGATAGATTAATATTAATATTGAATATGTTTCAATTGATTAATCAAGTTCAATGCTTTGTTAAACTGTGATTGGTAATGACACACACTAGAATTAATAGGCTGTTGATACCTTTTTTTCTTGGGTGTGGTCGCTGGCTTGCTTCCATAAACCATCTCTTTCTCCATTAACTCTTGTTTTTGTTTTTGCTTTAGGGAACATTAAGTGTTTAACTTAGTCATTTGATAACAAACTGAATATCACATCAGCATAAAATGATCATGAAATTTGATACAAGCATAATTTTACAAATCAACATTGTTGCATCTCAGAGAGTTTACATCACAAGTATGGTCAACCCAGGTTCCAATAGCTTAATAGTCAAGTTCACAATGATATGTAGGCAATGATAAAATTTTTGAGTCACTAATATTTCAAATTATTTGAAATTGTGTTCATCTGTTTCTACTTTTTTTTTTTACCCTTTCCAGTTTTTCTTGTTCCTTCTGTGCATTATATGCTGCCCACTGACGGTTGATAATGTCCATATAATGGCAGCCATTGATTAGGAATCGTCGTTCATTCTCTTCTTCCCACTTTTTTATTTGTGTGACCAGTTTCTGTTCAATCTAAACAATTGAAATAGTTAAATTAGCAATTTATTAGTGAGAAATGGGGATAAAACAGTTTGTTTATCATGATTGGATTTTTCACCTTAGGTAGTTCCTTGTTTATTCCTCTCCTCATTTTTTCTTCCTTCAAGAGTGCCCCACCACGGTTTGCAAGGCGATTTGTGTCATTTTTTCTGTTCTGAAGTCAAAAAGGAACAGAATATCAAGTTTATTTACAATTCAGTTTTTAAATTTTTCAAAGATTTCACACAATAAGTAATATCTATTATTAAGTGAAAATCACCTCAAATTCCTCCATTGTCTTAAACAGTGTTTCTCTTTTCTCCACAAGTTTGAAAATGTCCTTGTTTCCTTCATAATAATTCTTCATGACCTCAACTTGATGCTCATGAAGTGACAAGAGTTCCTCTGTAAAGTTGTCTGGAAAGATTTATTTCCAAAGATTATGTCAAGGTCAAGAATTAAACAGGGGAAGGTTGATTCCTTTAACTTTCAATAAAGTATCATTACAAACATCATGATCATAATTATGACTAGTTTGTGAACACATACCATCAAAAGCTGGAGAGAATTCTTCTCGTTGTGCTGGACCAAAATAACACTTGTCCCATAAATCAGACAGTTCCTTTCTGAAGGATTAAATATGAACAGAATTACCTTAACTTTATCAACTTGAAAATCATATTCAACAATAAACCTTTTGAGCCCTAAGGGTGACCAGCATCTAATTTCTCCCTATAGTTATACTGCTGAATCATCCATTAAGATCATGAGAAAAAGGGAAAAGATCGCCAACCTATCGCCAAGAAGCTCTGATTGTTAAATAAATTCTCCTTGTCACAACCAAAGAAAATGTGTAGAGAAGAATGTGGATATTGATGTTAGGCTGTAAAGGGTTAAATAGAACTAAGAAGGTAGAACTTTGTGCATGACTTGCTTTCAAAATAATAAGTGGCTGGAAACATCTGATTTACCTGAGACCTTCTATGAATTTTTGCATATGCTGTAGTTTCAAGGCTTGTAATCTTTGGACTTCTTCTTTCAACTGAAGCAGAGAAAAATAGAACAGTTAGTCTTCATGTACAACAAAATAAAAATAGTTCATTAAAAAAGCAGCAATTTTATCAACCATTCTGTAATGAAACTAGAGCATGAGCAATACTGATTTCTGTTGAGTGATGACACTGGTCAAAGGTTTCTCTTCTTGCTGGTACACTAGTCCATGTGCATGATATGCAACAACCATATAATTTCTTTTCTTGTTTTGCCTCAGCTCACTCTGTCAGTAAGTCAGAATTTAAGACTACTAACCTTAGTTATAACAGAAGGTTTAGATCCAACATGCTTTGCAAGAAAGACTTTCCTGTCTGACTCATCAACTTCAAGTTTGCTCCACAGTGATTTGATTGTCTCTGTCAACTCAGATGATTCGGCAATTAACCTCTTCTGTTGATTTTCAAGCTGTGCGCACAACAAATTTATAAAAATGATGAGATCTTTTCAAATCTGTTTTTCTTTTTTTTCTGTCAAAGGAGTAGAACATCTTACCTCAGTATTAAGTCCTCTCAGATGCTCCATATTGTCAGATGAAAGCTTGAATGTTGTCTCTGCATCACTTTTAGCCAGTTCCTTTTCTATGGAAGTTGATGGAACTGTCTCTATTTCTTTCCACAGTGTCTGAATTGATTGTTTTAATTCCTTGAAAGTATTCAACCTTTTTCCCTGAGACAAAACAGAGGAGTAATATATAATACAAGGGGTTTCACTAACTTCTTCCATTTCTTTGTTATGGCAGCGTATTTTATTTTATCCAGTTTTTAGCTTATATTCTAATAGACCTAGCTGTCAACCAGTTTTATAATCCTTGAAAACATTTTAATTCTAATTATGGTACTTTTGAGATTGAAGGCCACCAGTTCATCAGTTGAATTACTGTTGTGTGTTACCCTCCTTAAATAAAGTTGTTTGTTTGCATGTTTTTTTACTTGAGCAGCTACTGATGGAGTAATATGCAGCTGTGCCATAAGACAAAACCCAAACACAACAGCCTGCTTGTGGGATAAACAGATGGCAGATCTTATAGCCAGTGGTAGACCAATGCTAACTGCCTTTTATTAAAACCCCTGAATACACCAAAGATTGTTATCCTCATGGATCCATACATACTGTATTACACGTAACAAATACCACAATTACTGCAGGGCTATTAGGCATAATTGTAATTACTGGTATCATCATCATCATCAATTATTACTTTCAATTTAGTTAAACTATCAGCAGCCCCCCCCCCCTTTTTAAGGAAGTCTGTCGGGAGAATAAAAAAATTGAAAAAAAAAATTGTTGCCAGCATGCTGCGAGGAACTTCTTTCGTACACCTCACTCCCAGAGTTCTGATCAGCACTGAGGTCAATCTTTTTTCTTACTAACACTACAGACTTTCCCAAAAAGGAGGAACTCTACATAGTCTATAATCTAATTAAAAGTATGTTTCTCTTTTCATTCAGTTGGTTGACTGAAAAGGTGAAATTCTTTTGAGAATGACACATCCATTTTGCAAATCCTTTCCTTCCTGTACCAAAACAACTATTTCCCAAGTCAATTAAAGACATAACTCCACTCACATGTTCTTTCTGCAAGTATTCCACATTTGCCTCTAATTCTTTGAGTTGTTCCTTGGTTGGTACATTAACATCACCCAGGTTATGAGCAGGAAGGCACATCTGATTACAAAACTTTGATTCTGTTTCTCTCAAAGTTTTTAACTTTTTCATGCGCTCATGTTTTTCCTGCAAGGAAGATCACACTCTTTATAAATTTCACTTTCTATAACAAAGTAGCTTTTTTTTATTACAGTTTCTAACAAGTGGTAAAAATTCAAGAGACAGTTGTCAGCTAACTACAATGAGAAATGTCTGGCTTGAAAGGAAAGACCTACTGTTCTCTAATATCTACACCCAGCCTAAAGAGATGCAACTTGTGCCTCATTTTGTCTCCGGCTGCAATAGTACTACTGTAGCTGATCTCTTTCAAACTAAAAGCACTTTTCACCTGTGTGGTAGAAATCAATTAACAATTATTCACCAAAGTGGAGGTGGTTAGTGGTGGATATTTTCTGAGCAAGGCATCAAGGTAAATATCAACCACTAACCACTGAAGTGAATAGTTGTTTAAGCATAAACTAAAACAGTGGGATACCACTGTAATATGGCACACACACAAAAAGATTTTAACTCATTTATTCCTGCAACGATTACAATAATTATATTGGGCACAAATTACCTGTGTAAATGCTAAGAGGTGAATAGGACAGAAACTTTGGAGTTTGAGTAGCCAATCAAAGCATGCCTACAACCCTATCCAACGCTTTAGTATATACTCATTGCAGTTATATGCCAAAAGGCTAATTATTTGCATCTTTAGCTGCATGTACATGTAGGTACTGGTCATGATAGCAATGATAGTATTGATGGGTAAATCAATCTAAGTTATTGTTCCATTAAAACACAAATGTGTAAATGTGAGACAATATCTTCTCATTAAAAAGAACATGTACTATACCAGTTTCAGGTTGTCCACTTTTGTGCGCAGGTCATTTTCCAACATAAGTATGCTCATGGGTTTCTCTGGCTGAAAACAATCATCACCAATAAAATTTAACAGTAACTGACAATTCAAAGAGAAACATTCACTTGACCAACAAGTAGTGTCTTTTAAGTATAAATGTGTCTATCCATTGGTGATCATTCAATCTGACCTCACTTTATGTCTACCCACCTTCTCCACTGGTAATCCAAGTTCTTGGCTCAACTTTTCCAATTCTTGAGTACAAGTTTCCACATTTGCTTGAAGAGTGGCTTTCATTTCTTCCTCTTCGCTGACCATTTCTTGAAGCAAATTCCGTAAATGAAACAAAACAGATCTAGTTCTCTCCTCTCTCTGATCTTCTTGTAAACCAATTTCGCTCCAGATGTTCTGGAGGGTTTGCATAGCATTCTGTAAACACGGTATCATTTCAGATTTTATCATCTGCACACTCTCTTCTACTGAAGACGTAGATAATTGCCTGCTGGTATTCCTCTGTGAACTGTTAGTTTAGAGAGAGAAATCATTGTCAAGGTCGTTTCTATCATGTGAACATTCCACTTGCATGATGTTGTCCAATGTTATGTTACAAACAGACTCTGTTCAGTGTTAAACATGGGAAATAGCTCGTTTAAATTAATTTAATGCCAGTTAGACTGAAAGGAAAGCTGGTCTAAAGTACATAAATCAATATCCTTGAATCTTTAGCAAATGTGATCATAACCGAACTTTTACGAAATGAAAATTTGTGCAGTCGTCGACTACTCGTAATTAAAAACTAAGCTCATTGGCTAGAACTGTTACAGTAGTTTCTGCTTACAAAGCAAGCTTATGCGTGAACCGCAAAGCATTGAAATATCAATACATTTGTATTTTGAAACGTTTCGAAGAGGAAATTTTGTAATAATAACGAGCTCCTGAAAGATTTTGACAAAGTGATCACTACTTTTGAAGTACACGGCGTACATTTCAGACTCCGCCATCGCTCACGTTAAGATCTGTTTGATCAAAACAAGATCATGGATCTTGCGATTTGGAGTGGAGTCCAAAAGAAACTTAACTTAAAGAAAAATGTTACTTTTTATCAATATTTTACCTTTCTGCTTCCATTTTGACGACGTTTTAGTCATAGAAAATCCAATAAAGTTATTGCTCGGGAAAACAACTGTAAACTTGCTGCATTTGAAAGACCCGCAAACGGTCGTCAAATAGCACGTGATATATGTAGACTGTTTTTATTGGCTTCTTTCCCCACACTCAAAGTAACTATGTGGTATAAGAAAAACAATATGTCCATAAATTTTGACGGAAAAAAAAAGGTCCTTGGGATTCAAAGACTAGGCGAATAAAAGTCCTCTCCTGGAAAAACATATAAAATTTTCATCTAAGTGCACTTCACAAAGCCAGAAGTACACGTACCGTGCTTTCTCTATTAAAAAAAAACGTCTCCGGCGTTTGTTTTAACTTGATCTGGATAACCCGTCGTTTATTGACGGAGTGCAATTTTTTGTCATTATTTCGGGTTGACATTTGTTAACTACCCCCCTGAAGG